AGTATGGGAGTGGGAGGTGGGTACCAAAATAGCCATCCCATAGCAGACTTCAACACTGCTCAGGAGAACCCTCAGGCACAGCCACGGATCTCACCTGGTGGCTACAGTACTACAGGGCATGCCAGTTTGACCCTGCAGCAAGGGTCATACCATCAGCCACAAATCATCCTGAGCAAGGGGTGGCAGGGTGAAGGCAGCTGCCTGCACTAGCCTGGCCAGCCATGTGGGCTAGGTCCTTGCATGGCTGACTGTGTTCACCTTGTTCACCAGAACTAGGACACAAACAAGACATGTGTGAGGACCTGGCCAGGAAATAACTCAAACTTGGGTAAGGCTTTCACCAACCATAGTCAGCACATGGCATTAAAGATCCAGACAAATGTAAGTTGAATCAAGGTGCTTTTGAGGTTATGGGATAGGATCCCTATTGAGCGATCAGGCCGGCCTGTTCTCAACCATGCTGAGAGGGTCAACCTGTGCAAATACCACCAACTCCAGGGGAACCTGCAGTGGCTCAGTCAACATCCATACAAGTATATATGACATATGATTGGGACTCCGAAAACAAAAACTGATGGTGCCACACATCCCTCCCCAGGTACTGTTTTGTTTTGTTTTTTTTTTTGTCAGTCATGGGGCTTGAACTCTGGGCCTGGGTGCTATCCCTCAGCTCTTCAGCTCAAGGCAAGCACTCTACCACTTGAGCCACAGCCCCATTTCTGGATTTTTCTGCTTGTGTGGTGCTGAGGAATCGAACCCAGGGCCTCATGCATGCAAGGCAAGCACTCTACCACTGAGCCACCTTCCCAGCCCCTCTGGTGGTTTCTTGGAGATAGGAATCTCACGGTCTTTCCTGCCCGGGCTGGCTTTGAACCAAGATCCTCAGATCTCAGCCTCCTGAATAGCTAGGATTACAGGCGTGAGCCACCAGCACCCGGCTCCAGATACTGTTTTTTAACCAGAGCAGAGAGTGTTGGCTAAGGTCTGAGTACCCATCACAAGTGACAGCAAACCTGAGAACATGAGGATGTCGAAACATTTCCAATTTCCAGTGACATAAGGCACTATTATGCAAGAAACAGTTTGTATGCAACAGAAAAAAAGTAAACCCTTGCCTGTCATTTATGTCAAAATAAATTCTAGATAGATTAAATCTTGGATGTAAAAACCTAAAGTGGAAACACCTACTAGAAGACAGATGCATATTTATCTGGCTACAAGTTGCACAGAGCAATGGAATAACTAAAAAAGGAGAAAAATATTCAACATTTTGCTACAAAGTATGAAAAATTCCTGAACATCAAAAACTGTCATAAACAAAGATTAGAAAGCTGAGAAAAATGTGCAGTAGGCAGTTAGATGAGCAAAGAATTGATATCTTTCACATAGAGAGACTTAGACCAAGTGCTGAGAAACCCATCAAATCACAGGGGATCCTTGGTGTGGGGCCAGGTTGGATTGGTGCTGATTTCTGAGAGGGAAGGGAAGGGCTAGCTTATATGCAGTGAGAGGCATGTGTCCTCGCTGGCCTTTGTCACCTAGATTTGGCTCAGAGTATGTCACCCCCTCCCCCATGCTGCCTCCCCCAGGAGTCCCACTATTCATCACCACCTCCCAACTTCACATTCATTGTGTTCCCTAATGTGTTCCCATTATTCATTGTGTTCCCATTATTATCTCTATCTCCCACCAGCAGGGAGCTCCTCAAGGGCAGAGCTGGGCCTGGTGTGGCTTTAATAGCCAGTGTCCAGCATTAGACTTGGTGAGCAAAGGCTAAGTGAGGAAAGATGTGGGGAGAGACACATGGGTGCTTATCATCAGCTCCTGTCTGACGTTAGGGCCAAGGCACACTTCTCAGTCTTCTACCACCCCAAATCCCAAGGCTCAACACAGCAAGGTGCCATAAGCCAGAGCCCAGTTCTGCTAGCCAGTCTGTGAAATGGGGCCTAGTCCAAAGCAGAGATGGTATATTGCTGCTACCTTTAACTTTAACACACAGGACAGACATGAGTAATCAATTACCACAGCAGTTTTGAAAAATCAATCACAAACACTCCAGGCAAACAAAACAAAGGAAGAAAGAGAGGAAAGAAAGAGGAATGGAGAGGACCAGAGATAGATGGGGAGAAGACCAGGAACTGAAAGTAAAGAGGGAGAAAGGGGGAGAAAAGGAGCAAGCACAGCCAGGTGCCGGTGGCTCATGCCTGTAATCCTAGCTACTCAGGAGGCTGAGATCTGAAGATCACAGTTCAAAGCCAGCCCGAGAAGGAAAGCCCATGAGGCTCTTATCTCCAATAAACCACTAGAAAACTGAAAGTGGCGCTGTTCCTCAAGTGGTAGAGCACTTGCCTTGAGCTGAAGAGCGCAAGGACAGCACCCAAGCCCAGAGTTCAGGAGCTGGGAAGATGGCTCAGTGGTAGAGTGCTTGCCTTGCATGCATGAAGCCCTCGGTTCGATTCCTCAGCACCATATAAGCAGAAAAGGCCAGAAGTGGGGCTGTGGCTCAAGTGGTAGAGCGCTAGTCTACAGCTGAAGAGCTGAGGGACAGCACCCAGGCCCAGAGTTCAGGCCCCACGACCGACAAAAAGAAAAAAAGAAAGAAAGAAAAGACAAAAGAAAAGAAAAGAAAGAAAAAGAAACCAAGCCCAGAGTTCAAGCCCCACGACCAACAAAAAAAAAAAAAGGAGCAAGCACAGCAGAGTAGATGAGAATGATCAGGTTGCTTCAGGTGTGATTAATCTACTGCTTTCCTGCAGATGCTATTGCCAGAGTTGTGATTTAATGTCTGGCTAACCTGGCCTTCATAAGGTATGGTGGAATTCATGAGGAATTAAAAGGGGTGCAGGCTAGCTCTTCTTCCCACTACTGTTGCCAGAGGCTGTATCTGTGCTCAATCAATGTCATATCCCAAGGTCTAAATGCCCTAGACCAGTGATCCCTGGACACAACCTGAGGCTCTCCTGGCTCGGTGGACTGAACACTTAGATGCCCCACCAGAGACTGCCTCTTCAACACAGAAGCCAGCAACAGAACTGGTTCCTACAGGATAGCCTGCCAGCAGTTTTCTATACCCAAGGTCTTTGGGAAAAGGCAAAATCAACTCAGACTACCCTGTCCCTCCTTTGTGCTATGACTCTTAGTATAGGGCACTCAAGCATCCAAAGGCCTCAGTGCTTCTGGGTCTGTGGCTACTACCATCTCCCCAACACAGTCCTTGTGGGCCATGCCTCTACCCCGGCACTAGGTATCACTGAAAATCCACAAGCCTGGCATCAGCTAAGCCTCCCAGAGTCAGCCCTCAGTAGGAGCTGGGCAGATAACTAGCTAGGGAGTGAGCACTAGTACTGGAGAAATAGAGTGACCAGGGAGGCACCTGGGCTCACAACTGTAACCTTAACTAGCTACTCAGGATGCTGAGGACTCAGGATCAAGGTAGGATCGTCCATAAAACTCTAATCTCTAATTAACCACCAAAAAGCTGGAAATGGGGGTATAGCTCAAGTAGTAGAACACCAACTTTGAGCAAATAAGCTGAGGGACAATGACCAGGCCCTTAAAGCTTGGTACCAGCACAAAATAACCAGGATAGATGGGTGCTGGTGGCTCACGCCTGTAATCCTAGCTACTCAGGAGGCTGAGATCTGAGGATCGCGGTTCAAAGCCAGCCCGGGCAGGAGAGACCGTGAGACT